TTGTGGCCAGCAAAGTGTAGCTAAAAGAACAAGCACTGAACCAAATTTGAATCCTCATTCCCCCCAGGCTAACTCAGTGCCTTTGGGCAATTCTGTAACCTTTCCAACTCCCAGTTACCTTCTCTGGAAATGTGGAGCATAAGTCACTGTGCAGGGCTCTCAGGGTGATTAATACTGTAATTACAATAGCTGGTGGGTAGGATGACTCACACCTGTAATCCCAGCACTTTGGGAGGTTGAGGCAGGTGGATCAGGAGTTTGAGACCAGCCTGTCCAACATGATGGAACCCTGTCTCTACTAAAAATACAAAAAATTAGCCGGGCGTGGTGGCATGCACCTGTAATCTTAGGTATTCGGGAGGCTGAGGCAGGAGAATTAGTTGAACTCAGGAAGTGGAGGTTGCAGTTAGCTGAGATTGTGCCACTGCATTCCAGCCTAGGTGACAGAATTAGACTCTGTCTCTAGCAGAAAAAACAAAATTGCATTAAATTATGGTTCATTTTGGTTAGTGAGGTTTTTTTTTCTTTTTTTTTTTGTGATGGCTAGCTATGTTGCCTATATTGGTCTCAAACTCTTGGGCTCCAGCAATCCTTCTGCCTCAGCCTCTTGAATAGCTGGGATTAAAGGTGTGTGCCACTGCGCCCAGCTGGCTGCTAAGTTTTGTGCTACGCCCTTTCATTTTACCCCGGAGTGAATGTCTTACTTGCCTCACCTGGGTCCCCACCCAGCGAGATCTGCCTATGATCTCAGTAAAACAATTTCCCCAGGGAAACAGAAGCACAAAGCGTAGGGACTCTTCACAGACTAACATTCACTGGTTCTCAAGGCAGGAACACCTTTGTGTAAGAGGGCGAGGAAGTATTTTTGGAGGCAGCAATGAGTAGTTCTCCGCACTAATGCCCCCGGTGCTGTGGGGTCCTGTAGCAGAGGGACTGTGGCCCTTCTTCCGAATTCTCAGGCAAAAAACACCATGGGACTGTGAGAAAAGCAAAAGAACTGGCAAAAGTACACAAAGCCAAGTATATAAATTGTGAGTGTGGGTTGAGTGGCTCATGCCTGTAATCCCAGCACTTTGGGAGGCTGAGGCAGGAGGATCACTTGAGCCCAGGAGTTCAAGACCAGTCTGGGCAACATAGTGAGACCCCCATCTCTAAAAAAAAAAATTAACCGGGTGTGGTGGCATGCATCTGTGGTCTCAGTTGGTAGGGAGGCTGAGGTGGGAGGCTAGGAGTTTGAGGCCACAGTGAGCCATGTTTCGCCAGCCACTGTACTCCAGCCAGGGTGACAGAATGTGACACTGTCTCAAAAAAACTTTACTATGCCTGTAATCCCAGCACTGTGGGAGGCTGAGGCAGTGGATGGCTGGAGCCCAGGAGTTGGAGGCTGCAGTGAGCTATGATCATGCCAGTGCACTCCAGCCTGTGTGACAGAGCAAGAGTCTGTCTGAAAAAAAGAAAAAAAAATGTGAAATATCTGCCATCATTCTATCATTGACGGTTTTTTTTTTTTTTTTGATGGAGTCTCACTCTATCACCCAGGCTGGAGTGCAGAGGTGTGATCTTGGCTCTCTGCAACCTCTGCCTCCAGGGTTCAAGTGATTCTTGAGTTTCAGCCTCCCAGATAGCTGGGACTGTAGGTGCCCGCCACCATGCCTGGCTAATTTTTCTATTTTTAGTAGAGTCAGAGATTTAGCATGTTGGCCAGGCTGGTCTCAAACTCCTGACCTCAGGTGATCCACCTACTTCGGCCTGCCAAAGTGCTGGGATTACAGGCATGAGCCACCGTGCCTGGCCTATCATTGACAGTCTCTTAATCAAGGACCAGATGAATGATGCTGGCCTCTGTAAACACAGTGACTGCTGCGTGGGTCACTCTGAATGCTCAAGGCTAGTGGGCTGCTAATTTCTCCTCCTACTTAAGCTGGAAACTCATCCTGATTCAGCTGGGTTTGCTCCTAAAGTAGTTTATATCAATTATGCTTGCAATAGTGAAATTTGATTAAACATGTAACCAATA